CGGATTCTCCAGGACAATATGCAAGGGCAGCACCAGGTGAAATTAAGATAACTTCATCAACCCAAAAAAAGATGTATTGTAACAATTAAGTAGTAGAATGTTCTCTTTGCAGTATAGGATTTTAAATTAAGTCTTGCACGGATAATATTTGAGGCCTGAAGCATTATACATGCATGATTTTTCAAGGTAAAATCTGCCCCTTTTTCAGGAAATGAATTTAAAAATTAACTGGATTCAATTTTTTAATTGGGGAGAATGGGATCGCATTTATGTTATGATGTAAAGTAATGTATATAGAAAGGTCAATGAAGAGGTTTTTAATTTTTCCTTTAGCTGTTGGGAATATTTATTGGTGATTCTTGAGCTTCCATTTTTAAACCCATTGGGTGTCGGAAACATTAAATTAAAACTAAGGTCAAAATTGCTCTAAAACTTGTTTGCCAGTCCTTACGCAAATTATGGCGAATTTTGCCGGACTGCTAACTATGAAAGATTGGGGAACACTGATCTAGCATATTCTTGGCCATATTTTTACAACGGTGACTTCAAAATTACAAAAAATAATGGATTTTTGTCCCCTTTGAATAGATGTGGTCAAAGCGCATGATGGAAAAAAATAGAATGCACCCTTCGTTTGGAATTTTTCCATTTATTATCTTCAAAAAAATCTCAGGATTTCCAGGTTCAGCAATCAATCTGAGCGTGGAACGTGCACAGAATGTTTTTTTTTTTGAGAAAGATACAGTAGATATATTTTCGTTTTGCAAATTTTTCAAATCTCTTGCGGAAAAGGTGGATTTCAGGAGACTTGAAACCGGATTTTTGCGGAGCATCAAAAAGCAATGTCTTTTAGTGATCCAGTTGGTATCTTGTCTATCAATGCACCGGGAATCTTGAAAGCCCATCCAATTTATTTTTGAAATGGTTGTATTTGTGAAAAGCAAATTTTGAAAGGAAAGCAGCAAAAAATTGAATGTAAATTCAATCAATTTGAATGGTTGACCTGGGAAGCCGTTCGAGAATTCGAGCGCCATTTTTTCATTAGCAGAATTTTTACTTGCTAAAAAAAAAAACGCCTGGAATAATCTTGGAAAAACAATTGACAAGAAAAATACTAATGATCTCCTTATAAAATGACTTAGACCTTGTAATCAAAAATATTAACATGAAAAATTTGGCTGTTTATTAACTGCAAACATTTGAGGTATGATTCAAAAGGTTTATCAGTAAACCCCAGTACCCTGAAAATTAGATTTATTTTATTGAGCGTGTTTCAGGGTAAGAATATTATCGAACAATATAAGAAGGGATTGATAAAAAGCCTAGAAGCAGGGCTCTTATAATTGAGATGTCTTTTTTTTTAAATTGCAGTCATCACCTAGACAATTTTTCCTTAGTGATTGGCCATTTTAGGACAGTTCAAATTCAACACTTTTTCATGGTAACCCGGTTTTTGGGATCTGAAGAACAGTATCAATAATAGTGTGAGCGATTTTTTAAATTTGTCTTATTCCAAACATTGCTAATTTGACCATGTCTTGCTTGAAAAAATCTGAAAAACCTCATGAATAAACTTTCAGTGCTGCAAATTAATTTTCCTAGTACTGCACCAACATGTTGGGGCATATTACAAGGTTACATATTAAAAGCAATTTTTCATTAGAGGGGGTTTTGTTTTTAAAAAAAACCTCCCTGCTTTTTAGGGTGTCAAGCAGATGTCACTTGCTGGGTTGCTCTGAAAAAAAATCTAACCTGAATCAACATGACTGGCTGATCCACTGAACTGAACATGACTTTACTTCATAAGGCAAGTTCGGAATACAACAACTCAAGAAACGCAACCCAATGTGTCTTATTTCAAGTAAACGGTATTAAGTTTTCAGGCGACACCTGTGCAGAATGGCAAAGAAAAATCACAGATTTGCGGATGACTGGCGTCGACGTGAGAAAAAGTAACTCGCCTTTTTCTATACAATATTTGGTCGTGATCATATCAAAACTCTTCTTTTTTTGTTTTTGTTTCTGTGGATGAAAGTCCATTTGTTGGCAAAAATTGAAGTAAGTCTCGATAAATGTCCCCGGAATGGAGGACTGTATATTTTGCGTGGGGAATATCAAATGCAAAATATGCTGAGCAGGATGAACAAGAGGAGGGTGAGACTTGGCTGCGCCATGTTTGATGAGTTGCAGAGCTCGTTTTGGCAGGCACAGAGCAGAATGTCCCTGACCTTGTGGCATTTCCCGCGTGGGTGTTCCAGTTCCTGCGACCCGCACATTCTCCAGTCGTTTCCGTCTGAAAAATTAAATGGAATACCGCGCTGTAATGCCGAAAAATCGCGATTATTATCATTATTATTTCAATATGAGTCGGAGTGATGAAATGCGAGGTCCCCTGAATTCCGCAGCAGGCTTTTTGGCGGTACTTGCCTAAACAGAAATCAAGACCATTTGTTCAAGCGGCGATTCCGTGATGTAATCTCCTTTTTTTCATGGGGGATTACAACATTTTTTTTTACAAATTTTCTGGCTGAACTGAAAATCAAGACCATTTGTAGCAGCAGGTGCTTCCGTGACGTAATCTTTTTTTTCCATACGAGATTATGGCATTTATGCAAATTTTCCGGCTGAACTGGAATCAAGACCATTTGTACAAGCGATTTCGTGGTGTAATATTTTTTCCTTGCGAGATTACGGAATTGTTGCACATTTTCTGCATTTCCACGTTTACATTGCCGAAGAATTCCATGGTTAAATTCTGAACTAAAGTAACATGCAGAAGGCGGAAGTGGAATTTCGGCATGAAGAAATGCACCAACATTTTTACAATTTTTCGAAGTGAATTGATTCTGTTGTGCTGAATCCTTGGTGATAGTTAAAGAATTAAAAACATAAAAAAATTGTATTGTCACTGCACATGGATGCGTGGAACTAGGACAAAAGCTTCTTCACTCTGCGGCCAGTCCAGGAATTATTGAAAGCAAATTTTTTTTAGTTTCCCAATTTTGTTTTTAAAAAAATTCAGTGAGTTCCCGCATAAAAAACTCATATAAAAAGCATTTTGCGTAAAAACACTTTTACCGACGAAAGAGTGCCTTCCATAAAAAAGTTGTTTCCCCCGAAAAACATTTCCCAGAGAGAAGCACGTGAAGTGCAGCAAGTTTTTAGATTAATGTTTCGAATTTGAATCGCAAGGCACCCAATTTTGAGAAAAGGAATATGTCACAATTTTTGCTTTTCCTAGACCAAAGAATTATTCGTGGATTTCAGAAAAGTGAGAACTTGAAATTCTGAAATGTTGGCCAAGATGTGCTAAATCATTTGAAAAGAAGTTTAAGACATCCTGGCATCATCCCAAAAATAAAAACATATGTGATGCTATGATGTTTTTCTTCAAAATAAATTAACTACTGAAATAGAGCTTGTTGCAGTCAGGTTGACTTTAGATCTAACAGGTATTATTTCTGTGAGTTTTTGGAAATTTTTAAAATTTCAGCTTGATAAAAATCACTTACGAAAAACTCTCTCACAAGTGGTTTTACTGATCAGTTGATTTATAACGTTACCCATTGTACTGAATTACTGACCAAGGGACAAAGTCTTCATTGGTTAGGAAAAGCAAGTTAATTTTAGGTCTAGCAATGGTTTCTGCGAGTATCTGGAAATTTTATTTACCTTTTCAAATTTTAAAGCGATGGAAATCACATTAAGAAACTCACTCACGGATGGTTGTACTGATTACCGTACTTTAATTATTGCGGTACGTCCGGTACTGTGCTGAAATATTGATCAAGGGAAGCCTTTGTAGCAGTCCGGTTTATTGTATGTTTAACAGGGGTTTCTGTGAGTATCTGGACATTTTTTTATATTTTTAAATTTCAACTTGATGAAAATCACATTGAAAAAAAACTCACTTGCGAATGGTCAGTAGAATTCCGTTACAACGAATCTCGTTATAACGAATTTTTAATTATAACAAATTTTTTATTGTATTGGTCCCGCCAGTTTTCCATTGGCGTAATTTTATAAAAAAAATATTATTACAATGAACTAATTTTAGGCTGTAATCTCATTATAACGAATTTTTGTCCATCATTCTGTGTATAAAGACAATAGAGTTTGTTTGATGTGTATGACAAAATAAGAAAAGGTGCAGCAATCCAACTTCATCAAAAAGGAAAAATTTCTGCCAAGACCTTCCTGTTCAAAAAATACTGCACATGATGTATTTCTTTGAAATTCAGAAGCTCTATTCCAATATATACCTTTCTTCCCATTGTTCCCAATATACAGTATGTTTGAAAGAATTTTCCTCTATCTGCAAGAACATGCATGAATGAAAAAGTTTATTCAAAAGGAAGGATTCCTCTTACATGTACTGTACTTATGTTCATAGTATATTTTGAAACAACTGTCACTTTTTAGTAGAATGGCAGGTTCAGCAGAAGGAAAGTACTGTACTATTTATTTCAAGTTTTCTTTCAATTTCATCAGGAATACTCATTATTTATGATATAATTATTGAATTATTTGTTTTAGAAGCGCTTGCAAGTATTTATCGCCCCTTTCCTACAAAATTTCAGTCTAAAATATGCTAGAAATCATGAATCTCAATACAACGATTTTTTTATTATAACGAATTTTTCACCAAGTCCCTGCATGGGAGTTTGTTGTAACGATATTTTACTGTACACCGTATTGATTACCATAATTTAATTATCACGGTACCAACTGCACTGAAATACTGCACTGACCAACGGAAGCCTTGTAGCAGGCGGAAGAGAAATCCCTGGGGCATTCTTTGATGTAGTAGTCGGAAGAGTTGAAATGGGCGCAGTCTTGAATGTCCTCGAACTTTGGGAACTGCATTCGCACCGTGGGCTCGCTGATGACGTCAGCCACGTTCTTCGGCTCGCACACGTAGCACAGCAGACCTCTCGTATCTGGAATACATTACTTTTCTCATTATCGAATGCCTTATATTTAAACGCTGTATGAATTGTATCCGTCGTGGCTTCTGATGAAAGCCGCGAGAAACTTTTCATGATACAGCAGTAATTGAGCGAGAGAATGTATTAATCTGGTCTTAATTTATTCAAGTGCCTGTACTGATCGTACTTCTGGAGAACCAAGGAGAGTTAGGCCATTACAAAAATTGAAAAACTGGATATACTGTATTATAATTCGTTGATGTTTCATGTGATCTTCGTCGAGGAATTTACAGGATTTATTTTTCTTATTTATTTGATTCAATTAATCAAATAACGATTATCTATAGCGAAGGAGTTCAATGGTTCGAGTTCAGTTTTAGTTAAAATTAACTTGTTTGATCTCATGAATTCACAGGTTAAGTACAGTATAATCAGAGCTTCAACTTCGCAAATTTGGAAGATATCATCATCAGATAGAATTTATAAAATTCAGCAGTGGTTTGGTCCTATTTTCCTTGTTAGGTCATAATATTGTGGTTTAAGCTATCAGCATTCTTCCATTTACTGCTGAAAATGCACACTTCTTTCATTTCTACAGTATTCGAATATTAACTAACTTCTGACAGGAAGTTATTTCAACGGGTAGTTTTGGGGTCTTCGATATTACTGTAATTATATATACTGTATTTAATATTTCTCATCAAGTTCTTCGTCTTGATTGTCAACGAGTCTTTGATTTATTTATTGTGACAGGGTGTATTTAATGCTTTTTTTTCAGCTATGAACTTGAAACAATTACTGAACAACTTTTTGCGGGGAAAATGCTCTGAGAAAAATTAAACCTACATAACATTAAAAGGCACATTCAACGAAATTCATGTATTTTACCACGGAAGGGCACAATTACAATCAAGGGCAGTGAACAAGCAAGTCTTGAAGTGTTCCATTTTCATGAATTTCGTGGCATATATGATTTTGTCAAGCACAGTAAAATCTATAGTTTGAACGAATCTTGTCTGAACAATTCATGCTTGGAAATGATTTCGTTTTGAGGTCCTTCCAGAAGTATATAGACACGGAGTTTTTTGAGGCTCGTTGTACACATTTTTTGGCACGGAGATTTTTTTTTGTTCAGTCCCCGAGGGCTTTTATTGTAATGAAGTTGTACTGTAGTGCTAAGAGTTCATGGAAGAATGCATGGTTGAAACTGTACGTGCACAATAACTAATTCACAAGGCCAGGATATGAAATGGAATGTCTCACCTGATTGAGTGGAAGATTGCTGAGCTCTAGTCATTCTCACCCAGAACCCCAGGAAGAAGCAAACGCGGAAGAACCCAAGCACTACACTCGCTCCTCGGGGAACCCGTGAACCCGGGCTGCTGCTCCTCGGGGTTCTCTCGCCACTCATATCCCTCCTCTGAAACGGTTCTCCGTAGCTTTTTGTTTGGAGGTTTTTCACGATTGATTTCGATCTTCACGCGACACACTCGAATGATCTGAAAAGTTCGCCACCGTTTGGCGGTGACAGCCGCCGCACTGGCGACAGACCCAAGGCAGAGAAACGAGGGCCAGGTGCTGCATTTGGGATATATATCGACTGGGCCTTTGGGTCCCAACTGTGGGGGAGAGTCTGGTGTGCCTTCCTGGGGTCGGGGTGTGCAAACCTTTCTTGTTGTTTTCTTCCCAAACTATTTTTGTTGCTGCCTGATTCCAGCTGAAGGATCCTCTTATCCGAAGAAACCTATGTACAGTATTGTAAAATTTTTCTGCAAGTTATGGGCGTAATATTCATAATATTTTTTTCCTGTGGGTGGAGATGAAGAAGTTCGAGTTGACAAAGATCTAGTGATTCCTAGCTACTAAAGCTTTCACTACAGGGCTTTTACGTGGGTTGTCCCGCTTGGGCGCGACCTTGGATATTTTTAGAGTAGATATGCCTGTAAAAATCAATCACGATATTGCCCAAGATGTTGTAAGGTTCTGGGATTTTTTTTTTCCGGATTAAAAATACTGTACATAAGTGAGAACCCGAGATGCGGGCATAATTGGTGCATCAAGAGTGTCCCCAAGTTGAATTTTCCCTAAGTCGAGTCTTGTTGTCCCATAGACTTACTTTATATAATTTTTAATCGGTGTTTTTTGAAAGAAATATTCTTCAGAACTCCCTGAAAAAATTGTTTGCCGCTTGAATTTGAATTAGTGAATACATTTTTAACTGAATAAGAACATTTGGAGCATTGAATAGTGTATATCTGTACTGTACATTGAAATGTTGGCATCTACAAAAATAACATTCAAGTAAAAAAAAAGTAGAAGTCCCACTATTTTGGGGGTAATTTTTTAAAATTAGCTAAATGGATGGTAATTTGGTGAGAGAAATGCCCAAGATCTTTTCTTACATCAATTTTAGGGTTGGAAACATCTGTTTCTTGTAATTTGGTCTGAAATGTATATGCAATTTTATCACAAAATGTCCCTATGTGGAGTCAGTGTCCTCATGTGGGGCCTTTTTATTAATCTTTTCTGGGAAAATAAGTGTCCCTATGTCGAATTGTCCACAGGTCGAGATGTCCGCATGTGGGGGTCTCAATTCAGTTTACCACATAAGTGAAAACTTTCCAGCTACAGGTGGATTTCCTTACCCGTGTCAAGCGGGTGCTAAAATGTTTCAGGCCAGCTGAAAAATTGGAATGCCTTTGTTGTTTTAACCAATATCTTTTCTACGTTTTAGATATTGGTTAAAACAACGAGGAAGTTTCAATTTTCAGCTGGCCTGGCGAATTTTTAGCCCCCTGAGACATGGGTGGAAAACCCTGGCCGTAACTGGAAAGTTTTCTCTTATCATCATGCAGTAAATTAATTTTTTTGTAATGCGAAAAAAAATTCCTGAACCCTACAACTTTATAGGCTATACAATACTGTATATCTTTATTAATTTGTACAGTTGTACATACTCCAGAAGTGACGAAAGTCGCGCCCAAGCGGGGCAACTCTCCTATTCTCGACTGATTCATTTCTTTTGATGAACAAGTTCTGTCACACGGTTCCCCCAACATGAAATGAGCATTTTGCCTTTAAAAAAAACTTTGCGTTCGAACAATAAATTTGGTCTGCGAGGCGAGGCACAGTACCACTAGTTTCACCCCTGTGGGATTTTGTAATGTTTTCTCTCGGAAGTTTGAGAACCCTTGGCCTATGAGGGGGTCAAGTGCTCCCCCACTGAGGGGGATTGTGGTGAGGGAGGGAGCGTGGGTCTGGCCCGGGAACTGGGAGTTATCCTGCAGGATGGAAGGAAAGGGTCCCGGGGTCTTACACTGCGTCGTAATGGGGGAAGTCACACAAGTTCCCTCCTTTGCCACACGTTGCGGAAAGAGCATGCAAAAATAAATGGCGAACAAATTTGAAGGAAACGTTGCGTCGTCCGCTGTTGCCTAATTGTGATGTACAGTACATGACTTAAAGGGCTAGGATTTGCGTATAATTAAGCAGCAGTGGTGACTCGCTCTGTACAAGTGACGGACTCGAGCAAAGAATTGATCCCAGGAATGATCAAACAGCCGGAAAAAAAGAATAAAAAAATTTAGTAGATTAAAAAATTAATCTAAAAAACCACGTTTTCAAAAAG